TATCACAGCAACTCCATTTTCTTATGCTCAGGGTTTTTTGGATTCTTTTGCTTTGTCTCATGGAGATTTTCTTTTTCCTTATATCCTGTGAGCCCAGGAATGCATATCTCTCTCTCTGTCTCTCTCTCTCTCTCTCTCTCTCGCTCTGAAAAGGATTTGCATTTTATTTTACTGCTGACCTGAAATTGCATTAGCCTCCCTTACAGGATCCCTGATTTCCAGGAATATTCAGTGCAGTTCTCCAGTTCTCCCACCTTGCTGTGTCAGTCAGCCTTCCCCCCCACCCCACCCCCTGCCCCACAGTAGGATAAGCCTTCAGAGTATCTAATGGAAATAAAGTATTTTTTAAGTGAAAACGGAGAAGGGAGGGAGGGTGGGAATGAGGGAGGGGAAAGTAATACAATATGGAACGTTTGGCCAATGGAGATCGAGGGAAAACTTTCTTAGGTGATGATCCTACCACCCAAATATAACACCTAAGTTGAGAACATGAGATAAGAGCCAGCATTAACAAAATATAGCTACTGAAGGGATAGGAAAATGTGAAAGTGGAAAGCTTGAGACAGTTGAATTTTTATCATATAATTCCCATTAGGCAAACATTCTTTTGGAAAAATTTGAATACTTGAGCCTTTTATAGGATTACTAGAAGTCCAATGCACGAAGATTCATGCAAGTATAGGCCTTTCTTCCCCTGGCTGCCGGTGATGGGGGGGCTCGCTCTGGCAGCCTGTGCAGTGGCAGTGGCAGTGGCAAGCCCTGCGTGCTCTGGCGCCACTTCTTCCTAGCCCTCCTTCTCCAGAGAGTTCCTCTGTGCAGCGCTGGTGCTCCTGGGGAGGCACGGAGGGGAAGAGGTAGGGGAGCAAGGCAGGCGGGGAGGACTGGAGAGGTTGGGTGCACTAGTGCGTTTCACTTTCCCATTGTGAAAGTGGGATGCAACTGGCCCCCTTCTTCATCCTCTTCCTCCTCTGCCCTCCGCCTCCTGCCCACCGGCCCTCCCTCCATGCCCATCGCCCCTCCCCTCTTGATTTGGCGAGATAGGAAGGAGGGAGATCTGATAATTTGGGTTACTGTGTAGGTGGCCTCTTTCATCTATTCAAAACAAAGCTGAGCTGCCTGCTGCTGCCGCCACAGCTGCCACCATCGCCCCTTGGCTGGCCCGGGGCTCCCAGGGTGCACTAACTGTGCACTGAGCGAGCTCCCATGAGCGTCTGCACCTGCAGAGCTGCTCCAAAGCTAGGGTTTTGTTTACCAGAGCAGCGGGGCAGTGGTGGGGTAGAGGGAGATGGCCAGACACCGGTAGCTATGACCTCAGGCACCAGAGGGTTGCCTCTGAGGCCGGGGGCTGGGCCACAGGGAGGCTGCAAGGACGGTTGACAGGTGTGGAGTGCGGCAGGGAGGCCCTGAGGAGGCACGCTGCCCAGAGCGGCCAGGGGTGGGGCTGCCACCATCTTTGTCAGGTTAATTTACGTACTCACTCCTGATTGGCTGTGGGCGTTGTGAAGTGATGGTCAATTTACATATTTCTCTTTTATTAGATAAGATAGCTTAATTTTACTGGTCAGTTCTCTGGAATGTTATGTGGAAAAGTACCCAAGGAAATATTTCAATAAAATATAAATAAATGCATTTATAGTCTCTTACATGTGAGTTAATTTGCATATCTTATATTTCTGAATGATATTGTTTCTTTTCTTAATCCCACAGGACAAGGAGTAGATGAGCCTCTTTCAGAAACTGGATTTAAACAAGCAGCTGCTGCTGGTATATTTCTTAATAATGTGAAGTTTACTCATGTTTTCTCCAGTGATCTCACGAGGACAAAGCAGGTAAGTTTAGAGTGGAGGTTTAGGGTGATGAGTCAAAAGTTTCACCAGTGTAACCTTGAAAAATCTGCTACCAGAATTTATAGGGAATTAAATCACATACAGACTACCCCCAATATTCCCCTCTCCTCAACAGAACTTTTTTTTCCCATTGTACTTTATTTTATTTTGGTAAATTTTAAATTAGAGTAGCTTGAGAAAAGCTATCTAAAAAAAAGACAAAGAAGGTGTCGAGAGAGAAAGCCAGAAGAAACAATAGGCAGGAGAAGTTAACACACAAAGGCATCAGATGTTGGAATTAATAGATACAGTTAAAAAACAATAACTATAAATACGAGACATTTTTTGAAATATCTTAAATATCTTTAGGGAACAGATTGGTATAAAAATTACCTAGAGATTTAAAAAGGACCCAAGTCAACTTCTAAAAGCTTAATGGAAGGACAATTTTGTGACAACTACGAGGGAATAACAGGGCTGGGTTTAGCCTTCCCACATGAATAACTAGAAAATAGGACAAAATTTGTGAAACACTATTTTCAGATATTGGACTTCAGGCAATGTGGGTGTATGATCCCCAAAATAGTGAAACAAACGAGGTGAGCCCTAGGACTGTCCTGACTTTTCTGCTGAAGTAATTCCCAGACTCTGGTAGGAGAAGCCACATAGAGCCCAATGGTCTCAGTGAGTTAGGTGATAGAGCTTGGAAAGGTTAAGTAACTAACATTTATGGAGCAGAGTACTGGAAGAGAGAGCTGCACAAAGAAAGAAGTCTTGAAATGTGTGTAGGGATCCCCTTGAATCTTTGGTGGACTTAATTTGCACACGTGTAGGGTGTAACTGCCTGTGGCCAGACAAAATACAACTTCAGCGGGGAGAGCAATTGCTGGGGAAGTTGTAAGCTGAACAATTCCTAGAGCTCAATTTGATTTCCCATCAGCTAAAGTGGAGAGATTTCATTGAATGCAGAGAGCATAGAGTAGAGTTGTCATAGTATTATACCTTAATAAGTGAGGCTAAACTACCCTTAGAGGAATGTAATGAGGAAAGAAATAGAGAATAAAAGAATCAAATTTATCTTCTATAGATGAAAAATACGATATTCTGAAATGAAAATGTTATGGGATGGAATTAACAGCAGAATAGATACTGTCGAAGAAGAGATTAGTGAACATGAAGACATAGAAACAATATTTTAAAGTTGTAAAAAGGAAAAAAAGACTAGAAAAGGAACATTGAAAAGTCTCAGAGAAGTATAGTATGACATTAAGCAATTTAATTTACATGTAGTTGAAATCACAAAAGGGAAGTGGGGCATGAGTATGAGGGTTAAAACAAATAATTTGAATAAGTAATGACTAAAATTTTCCCAAATATTTACCCAGTGAAAATTCTTTGAAAAATTAGGTGAAATAAAGACTTTCTCTCAAGCAAAAGTTGAGGGACCTAAAATAGCACCATATTTTTATGGTCAGTTATTTTTGAGTGTTTTTGGTTTAGGGTTTTGACAACGGTACCAAGGTAATTTAGTGATTGAAAGGATAATCTTTTCTATAAAAGGTGCTGAAACATTGGGCTATCCATATGGAAAAACATGAACTTTGACTCTTACCTCACATAACACAAACATTAACTTATGATTGATTATAGAACTAACCTAAAAGCTAAATTTATAAAAATTCTATTTAAAAAATAAAAACCCACAGAAGACACATTGAGATATTGCCTCACACCTACCAGAATGGCTACCATCAGTAAATCAGCAAATAAGTGCTGGTGAGGATGTAGAGAAAAGGGAACCCTAGTACACTGTTGGTGGGAATGCAGACTGGTGCAGGCACAGTGGAAAACAGTATGGAGTTTCCTAAAAAAATTAAAGTGGAACTACCTTTTCACCTAGTGATCCCACTTCTGGGACTATTTCCTAAGAATCCCGAAACACCAATTAGAAAGAATATATGCACCTGTATGTTCATAGCATCATTATTTGCAACTAGAGGCCCGGTGCATGAAATTTGTGCATGGGATGGGGGTGGGGTCCCTCAGCCTGGCCTGCAGCCTCTCCAATCCGGGACCCCTAAACCGGCAGTCGGACATCCCTCTCGCAATCCAGAACCACTGGCTCCTAACTGCTCACCTGCCTGCCTGCCTGATCACCTCTAACTGCCTCTGCCTGCCTGCCTGATGCTCCTAACTGCTCCCCTGCCAGCCTAATTGCCCCTAACTGCTCTCTGCCTGCCTGATTGCCTCTATCTGCCTCGGCCCCACCACCGTGGCTTTGTCTGGGAGGACGTCCGGAAGATGTCCGGTCTAATTAGCATATTACCCTATTATTAGTATAGACTAGAGGCCCGGTGCACAAAAATTTGTGCACTCGGGGGTGGGGGATCCCTCAGCCCGGCCTGTGCCCTCTTGCAGTCTGGGACCTCTCGGAGGTGACCACCTGCTCCTTAGGCCTGCTCCCCAGGGGATTGGGCCTAAGATGGCAATCAGACATCCCTCTGGCAGCCCGGCAGCCCTCGGGGGATGTCCACTTGCCAGTGGGGAGCAGGCCTAAGCGTTGCGATGCCCTCAGTCACGCTCAGGGTACAGCCGATTGGGGGGTTGGGGCACCGCCCCCTGTCACACTCAAGGCAGGGTCAATGGGGAGGAGG